TGCAGACTGGGCTGGAGAAAGATCAGACCTAAGATCCACTTGTGGTTGAGCAAGTCGTAAAGAAGAAATTGTTGCCCACTCATCTACTGAAGAAGAAATTGTATCCACTCCTGAAGCGTGCAAAGAATTAGAGTGGTTTATATTGTTACTGGAGAATTTTGGTATTAAGGAACCTTTGCCATTTCAATTGCTAGAGGATAACCAGAGTTGCATAGCCCTCTCACGTTCAGAAAGGAACACTGCATGGACAAAGCACATTGGAATCAGGAACCACTATGTAAGGGTCCTGCACAGACAAGGAGTTGTCAAGCTACACTACTGTCTCATTTAGAAAATGACAGCGGACATATTTACCCAACTGCTACCAAGAGACAAATACCAAGGCCTGTGGGACAACCTGAATGTTGAGAATGTTGAGGGGCACGACATCACCCTGGCCCTTTTCAAACTGCTTTTGTATTCCGTTTTAGTAACTGGTTGTTAATGGATTTTGTCCTGTCATTTCAGACAGACCCGCTAACAGAACTTATTTACCTGTTCATACAAACCCACTTACGTCGGGTTAGCAAGCGTGGTTAAGCCGCTTTTGAGGGAAACTGCTTTCTTCCATTTTCTACACCTTTGTTGCATTTCTCAGTCGCTTTGGTGTGCTGTCCATAGCACTTCCTACAATGCTGCTTTTTCCCTTGTGGTTTTTGCCATGCAATCTTCCTTGAGATTTTAAAAAAATGTTCTAAAGTGAGCACTATAGTGCTAAACCCGATGTAGCACTTGACTCCATTGAGTCAATTGACTCCATTGGGGGCAGGCCAAAAGAGTCCAAAAAAGAACCAAGTAGATCCCCCATGCTACTACTATTATCAAAATCAGCAGCCAACTCCAGGAGGAGCTTAGAGACTTTTATCTGCAAAAAGGTTTGCAAATGGAGCACAGCCAAATCAGTTTTGGTTTTAGGATACTCCAAAGGGGTGGTCAGTTGTTGAGCCAACTGAGCTGGTTGCATGCTAGCAGATGCAATGGAGTGTCAGAATATTGTTTTGTATTGCTGGCAAGATGACAGCTAAGATAATGTGAGTCAGTTAGTTCATCTTGATCTAGAAGTGACAGGAGTAGTGTAATGTGACATGTCACCAGATCAGGATTGCATCATACTCAGAGGAGTCACAGTGAGTCAGCACTATGATGTGATTGGTGCTTCACAGTATATATTCTGTGTACTCTGTCTGTACAGTATCACTCTCATAATTTGGATGTCTTGCGAAGCACTTCGATAGTCTGCCTAAGAATTTGGATTCTACCAGTGCTTACTTGGACTGTATGTATAATATTGTAAATAAAACCACTGTATATAGTTCAGCACTAGCATATTGTGGATTGGATTATTCGCCGCGCTTCCACTATGCCGTCATGGAGGTGGTGAAATAATGTCTTTTCACCACTTTCACTGCCACCTTATAGGCATTCAGTCGGGCTTTGTAATTTCTCACAGCTTCATCTTGTGTTCGTCACCAATTCCAGTCTAGATGTGTGAGCAACCTCTTAAAATCTCTTAGACACCTAATTATACCAAGAATCCACAGAAACGAGGTGCAGTTGTCATCGGGGAGCAATCCTATCGACAGTTTCCTGAAGACCTCTATTCCAAATCTGTCAGCTCATTGAAGGAACTGCTGGTAGGTCCAGATAAATCCCACAGAGCATTTTGTAAACCATCAGGATCCAGTCGTTTCTACAGGCGAGCATAAATACGCTCATTACCCCTGCAGGGGGGAATAGCCACCCCCAAACTGACCCTTACGAAAAAGTGATCTGACCATGATACCAGTTCACGAACAATTCCACTATTCAGATCAAATCCTGCACAAAAGATCTAGCATGTGGCCTGATTCATGCTCGGGGGTTGATACAACCTGGGAGAGTCCCAGTGTTGCCATGGCAACCATGAAGTCTTTTCTTCAGATGTAGACAGTGTAATAGGCTACTTGCAAAAAGGGCAGAAGTGGGTGAACTGGGATTATTTGATCCCTAGATCTGAGCAGTTTATAGAAAGCATTCCAGCCTAACTCCTGCATCTCCAACACTGCTTGATTTGATCCAGCTACAGCAGTTTTCAGTGTACTTAAGCAATCCTTTGCAAGTGGATTTTCATACTTGCAAATGATTGCTGAAGCGCATTGAAACTGTGTTATCCACTGTATGAGAACGCAGCCTAAGAGAACAACCCGATCTCAGAATCTTACTCAAATCTATTCAGTGGGGCTTGGTACCAGGAAAGTATTCTTATGGTCAGGGTTCCCTCTAAGTTGAGTTAGTGTGAGCTAGCTCACATTTTTTTAGCCTCCAGCTCACGTATTTTTGTTTTAGCTCAGGAAGGATGGCTCCACAGCAACCTAATTTATGCAGCAGTCAAATAGCTCACTCACAACTTTAATGTCAGTAGCTCACAAAGTAGAATTTTTGCTCACAGGACTCCACAGCTTAGAGGGAACATTGCTTATGGTTGTACTGCAAGAGTCCAATCTGACAAAAATTATAAATTCCCAGCATCAGGGATTTCAGACAGAAAACCTAGTAGCAGTGCCATCCTAAGCAGAGTTATACAGTTGTAAGTCTGTTAATTTAAATGGCATTAAAGGGGTGCAACTGCATAAAATGGCATTGCATTACATCTTTTTTATGATATTCCTAAAACAGAAGCCAAAACCCTTCCAATCTTAATGAGGAAGTAACCTTTTAACATGACTAGAGTGCAGATGCAGGTAGGCTCAGTAAGATAATGAAAATGAAGGTACTGAATTATAATTAATTTTTTGCTAAGGGTTTAATATATATAGAAACCAAAAAATGTGGTATGTATTGATAGAATTTTTTAAAGAAACAAAAAACTTCTAAAATAAAAACAGTTATACCTGTGTGTTTTTTAAAGTACATTGTTATGTTGACAGATGCCAGATCTCAAAATTAGGTGAGATGTTTTTTAAAAAAACTTACAGATACTATGTTTATTGGATACCTACCACCCTTGTCAAATAGCTGAAACAGGTGAAAAAGGGCCCCCTCTTAGCTAATCTCAGAGAGACTCATACAGTTCTGCTCATCCTCAGTGTGACTAAATTACTTTCCACTGACTTTATGGAGGGTGGGTGAATAACTGCAATGGTGAAATGGCAGTTGCAAGGAAGCATGAAGGGCTTGCATGTGTCCTGATTGGATGGAGACAATGCTCTGTAGCCTTCATTCCTGCTTTTTTCCTGCTCCTGAAACCATTCCAAAAGGGGGGAGAGCAAAAGCATCACCCAAATCTATGTGGGGTAGGGTGTGGGCTTAGGTGTTCAGCAACATCCGTATAGGTATATAAATACAGCATCTGCAGTGCAATCCTGAGCAAAGTTACATTCTTCTAAGTCCACTGACTTCAGTGGGTATATAATGGTATACCTGTTTAGGATCGTACTGTAAATTGGCCTTGAAGCCTACCTTTGCCTACACTCCCTTTAATCTGGTTGGATTTACGATAAATCACAAAGATTCAAAATACAATGTTGGACATATTTAGAATATGTAAAGTTGGGAGAGAGGGAAGGAGGTTTACTGTTCTACCTTCAGGCTTTCTCTTCTTCATGTTGCATTTGTCACAGACTGCCTGTCAGGGTTATCCCTTCCATGCATTTTAGTTAGCCAGTTTGATGTACTCTAATCTGGAGAACAGGGTTTAATTCCCCACTGTTCCACATGAAGCCAGCTGGGTGACCTTGGGTCAGTCACAGTTCTCTCAGAGCTCTCTCGGCCCCACCTACCTACCAGGGTGTCTGTTGTGGGGAGAGAAAGGGAAGGCAATTATAAACCGCTCTAAAGCTCCTTCGGGTAGTGAAAATCAGGGTATAAAAACCAACTCTTCTTCGTCTTTAAACGAATTGCTGAACCTACTTAAATTACACAATGAGTATTCGGATTATTACTAAGAGATGTAAAGCTCTGCTTTTCTAGATGATGAAAAAAGTTTCACCAAGTACTGCAACATCTGTTACATTTAGCAATACACTGTGAAGTTGGAGCTGACAGTTGCTAGAGATAGTGGGAGAAATGTCTGTCTTCGAAGTTAGTTCAGTATTCTCATCCCCACTGTCTGGTTGTTTGAGGCTGCTAACTGCTGGATTCTACGATGTCATTGGCAAAGGCTGTCCTTCTAGAAGCATTTCCCAACAAATCAAACCAGGCAG